CACCTCCAATGTGCCATCACATAGGGGGCTTGTGAGCTTCCCCATGTGATAGCAATGAAGTAAAAAAAAAAATGTTAAAAAAAAGATTCCCCCTCCCAAAAAGAATTGAAACTCCCCCAACCCTGCAAATGCGCGTATGCTAACGGAAACCCAAGTCTGGCGCACCTACGATAACTCCACACGTCAGGTTTGGCCACGTATTTGGTATTTTTTTTATCCAATTATTTTTTTCCGATTAATCGGCTATCTAATGGTTTCTGAAAATAGTAATATGTGTAAGATTCAGAACCATTGTCAGGTTTTGCTTTCCCCATGACACCCATCGCCTGCTTTTCCTGTCTGGATGTGATAGAAAATCTCTCCAGTGGGTTACAGCCAACACTAAAAATACAAAAAGTCTTAACCCTTTCCTAGCTGGACTTCAATAGGCAAAACAATTATTTGACACTTCTTCATGAATATCCTTCAGAATATAAACCTCTGTTGATCTTGATGACATCATTACCAAACCAAGAACTTGTATATCAGATGGTATGCCACTGCCATAGAAAGAAAGCTGCGTGACCACAAGAAATACAAGCCTCCATAGTAACAAGTTAGAGGACATGTGCGTGGAGGATATGCCTTACACAACGTCAGTAAGGCTCCTAGGGCATATCTCCTACGTCCTGCCCCTCTCCCCCTGCCACCATTACTGGCCATTCCTGGCTGTCAATCTGGGCATTGTATCACATAGCAACAGCAGCTGTCAAAATGCAGCCACTGCTATGTAGAATGACACCTGAAGATAGTCTGCCAGCAGGGCAGCCATCAGAAATGTTGGGGCCCCTTACACAGCTTTGGGCCGGGCCCCGCGCCTCTGGACGCAGGGCTTAGTGACGTGCTGGACGCAGGGCTTAGTGACGTGCTGGACGCAGGGCTTAGTGACGCGCTGGACACAGGACCCACCTGAGAGTGACCCTGCAGAGCCCACCATAGATGCTGCACAGCCCATCTGAGACTGTCTATGGTGGGCTCTGAAGGGGTCTCAGGTGGGCTGATCAGGGCTGCATCCCTCCCTTCCTTCCTAGCTCTTCTTACCTGCACACATGGCCTTGTCTGCCGCCGGACCAGCCAGAAGTGACGTCCCGTCCAGCGTCGCTGATGGGGCCCTAGCGTGTCTCAAAGCCGCTGCAGCGGCAATGCTGGGGCCCTGCGCTGCTTGTGCCAGGCCTCCGCCTCCTCCCCCTTCACCGTCGGCCAATAGTCATGTAAGGGACCCGGGCGGGCCCCCCAGGCTGCCCAGGCCCCTTACATGAGTATCGGCCGTACCCCCCTGATGGCTGCCCTCTCTGCCAGTGTCACAGGTCTCAGCCGGAACACACATGCACTAATCTGGAAAGCTTGACTAGACTGCTGGACATTCAGCCTATGTCTGATCAACAGGTTACAAATAGAAGAATGGACACCGACACTCCAAATAGCAAATCAAGTACGTCTATTTATTAACATACATGTTAGGGATGTGCCGATACCGATACCAGGCATTTTCACGAGCATTTGTACTTGTGAAAATGCCCCGATCTTTAAGGCCGATACCGGCCCTTTAAATTTTCAAACAGCAGTGGCCGTCCGAGTTTCTGCGCTTGTGGGGACCTCGGCAGCCTGCTGGGGACCTGCAGATAGCTGTCCATGGCAGTGCCTGTCTGGTTCTTTATCTCCTCCTCCTCCTTCCGCAGGCACAGCCATGGACAGCCCCGGGGGCTCGTACTCGCCCAAATGCTCAGATACCGAAATTTACGATCAGAGGAAGATTTCCTTCTGACCAGCAATGTCAAGGGAGCATGGAGCCGGCTTCCTTTCCAATCAGGAAGCCGTATGGTGGGTTATGACCTGCCTCTAGGCTTCCTTATTGGCTAGGAAGCCGGCTTCACTTGTTGCTAGGCAGCCTGGCTTCCTAACCAATCAGGAAGACGGGCAGCAGGTAATGACCCACCTCCCAGATTGGTCAGGAAGCCAGGCTGCATAGAAACAAGTGAAGCCGGCTTCCTAGCCAATACCTCATGTCACCTTAAAGAGAACCCGTCACCTCCAATGTGCCATCACATAGGGGGCTTGTGAGCTTCCCCATGTGATAGCAATGAAGTAAAAAAAAAAATGTTAAAAAAAAGATTCCCCCTCCCAAAAAGAATTGAAACTCCCCCAACCCTGCAAATGCGCGTATGCTAACGGAAACCCAAGTCTGGCGCACCTACGATAACTCCACACGTCAGGTTTGGCCACGTATTTGGTATTTTTTTTATCCAATTATTTTTTTCCGATTAATCGGCTATCTAATGGTTTCTGAAAATAGTAATATGTGTAAGATTCAGAACCATTGTCAGGTTTTGCTTTCCCCATGACACCCATCGCCTGCTTTTCCTGTCTGGATGTGATAGAAAATCTCTCCAGTGGGTTACAGCCAACACTAAAAATACAAAAAGTCTTAACCCTTTCCTAGCTGGACTTCAATAGGCAAAACAATTATTTGACACTTCTTCATGAATATCCTTCAGAATATAAACCTCTGTTGATCTTGATGACATCATTACCAAACCAAGAACTTGTATATCAGATGGTATGCCACTGCCATAGAAAGAAAGCTGCGTGACCACAAGAAATACAAGCCTCCATAGTAACAAGTTAGAGGACATGTGCGTGGAGGATATGCCTTACACAACGTCAGTAAGGCTCCTAGGGCATATCTCCTACGTCCTGCCCCTCTCCCCCTGCCACCATTACTGGCCATTCCTGGCTGTCAATCTGGGCATTGTATCACATAGCAACAGCAGCTGTCAAAATGCAGCCACTGCTATGTAGAATGACACCTGAAGATAGTCTGCCAGCAGGGCAGCCATCAGAAATGTTGGGGCCCCTTACACAGCTTTGGGCCGGGCCCCGCGCCTCTGGCCGCAGGGCTTAGTGACGTGCTGGACGCAGGGCTTAGTGACGTGCTGGACGCAGGGCTTAGTGACGCGCTGGACACAGGACCCACCTGAGAGTGACCCTGCAGAGCCCACCATAGATGCTGCACAGCCCATCTGAGACTGTCTATGGTGGGCTCTGAAGGGGTCTCAGGTGGGCTGATCAGGGCTGCATCCCTCCCTTCCTTCCTAGCTCTTCTTACCTGCACACATGGCCTTGTCTGCCGCCGGACCAGCCAGAAGTGACGTCCCGTCCAGCGTCGCTGATGGGGCCCTAGCGTGTCTCAAAGCCGCTGCAGCGGCAATGCTGGGGCCCTGCGCTGCTTGTGCCAGGCCTCCGCCTCCTCCCCCTTCACCGTCGGCCAATAGTCATGTAAGGGACCCGGGCGGGCCCCCCAGGCTGCCCAGGCCCCTTACATGAGTATCGGCCGTACCCCCCTGATGGCTGCCCTCTCTGCCAGTGTCACAGGTCTCAGCCGGAACACACATGCACTAATCTGGAAAGCTTGACTAGACTGCTGGACATTCAGCCTATGTCTGATCAACAGGTTACAAATAGAAGAATGGACACCGACACTCCAAATAGCAAATCAAGTACGTCTATTTATTAACATACATGTTAGGGATGTGCCGATACCGATACCAGGCATTTTCACGAGCATTTGTACTTGTGAAAATGCCCCGATCTTTAAGGCCGATACCGGCCCTTTAAATTTTCAAACAGCAGTGGCCGTCCGAGTTTCTGCGCTTGTGGGGACCTCGGCAGCCTGCTGGGGACCTGCAGATAGCTGTCCATGGCAGTGCCTGTCTGGTTCTTTATCTCCTCCTCCTCCTTCCGCAGGCACAGCCATGGACAGCCCCGGGGGCTCGTACTCGCCCAAATGCTCAGATACCGAAATTTACGATCAGAGGAAGATTTCCTTCTGACCAGCAATGTCAAGGGAGCATGGAGCCGGCTTCCTTTCCAATCAGGAAGCCGTATGGTGGGTTATGACCTGCCTCTAGGCTTCCTTATTGGCTAGGAAGCCGGCTTCACTTGTTGCTAGGCAGCCTGGCTTCCTAACCAATCAGGAAGACGGGCAGCAGGTAATGACCCACCTCCCAGATTGGTCAGGAAGCCAGGCTGCATAGAAACAAGTGAAGCCGGCTTCCTAGGCAATCAGGAAGACGGGAGGCAGGTCATGACGTGCCGCCTGGCTTCCTGATTGGCTAGGAAGCCAACTTCACTTGTTGGTAGGCAGCCTGGCTTCCTAACCAACCATGAAGCCGGGGTGGCACTTCGCGACCCAGGTCCTTGCTTCCTGATTGGTCAGGAAGCCACTCTGCCTAGAAACAAGTGAAGCCGGCTACCTAGCCAATCAGGAAGCTGGGTCATGACTAGCCGCCTGGCTTCCTGATTGGCTAGGTAGCTTGTTGCTAGGCAGCCTGGCTTCCTGACCAATCAAGAAACCGGACGGCATCTCATGACTCGCCACCCGGCTTCCTGATTGGTCAGGAAGCCAGGCAGTCTTGGCAAGTGAAGCCAGTGTTCTTTCACTAGAACACAGGCAATCAGGAAGCCGACTTCCTGATAATCAGGGCACAAGGCACCAGTACTCGGTATCGGAGAGTACCAAAAAAAATGATCGGTGCTCGTACTTGATACCCAAAAAACGGTATCATTGCATCGCAGATTTTATATATACATATACACACTTCAATCAAGATTCCCAACTATTGGCTATCTAAGGAGAGAGGACAGCAAAAGTGGTCTCCTTTCAGGTAAGATGTCTCTCATTGAAACCTAAGGAGCAGTATGGATGGGGGGAGGGGAGTCACCCCTCAAGCTTATGTGTGCATTTCAGCTTGAGCTATGGAAATATGAAAATGTATTTTTTAATTTGTCCGTTTAATAATGAACATTTGTACTAAACACTATACAGTACATTCCCTTATTAGTGCTGGAATAAAAGCCCCATTGTGTGCCCATGCCAACTTGTCTCTCACCTCATAGTGTAAGAACTTCTTGTTGTCGGACATGAGAGGCTTTGTGCGAGTACTCCTGGCCACATTAATAACTCGAATACGGGCGATCACCGATGTGGAGTTTCTCGTGTCTAAGCAAATTGGATCTATCGGTGAAACGTTTCCCACATACTGAACACGTGTACGGCTTTGCACCCGTGTGCGTCCTTTCGTGGGTGAAAAGGCTGTTCCTCTGAGAAAAGGATTTGCCGCACTTGGAACACGTATATGGTTTCTCCCCGGTGTGGACCCGCTCGTGTCTGCTGAGGGAGGATCTGTATATGAAACATTTCCCGCACTGGGGACACGAAAATTGCTTCACTCCGGTGTGACTTCTCTGGTGGACCATAAGCCCTCCCCTTCTGTTGAAACATTTCCCACATTCGGGGCAGAGGAAGGTTTTACTCCCTGTGTGATGAGTGACGGGAAATGACGGAGCAGCAAAACCGCCACGTGTCGGCGGATCAGGTGGTGGATCTGCGTTATGTGCTATTAGATGGACATTTGGGATAACGGGGGTTTCTTCAAAAGATTCCCATGTGATGTCTTCATTTTTAATCTCATTATCTGGGAAGATGACGGGCGGTTTGTCCATGTTATTCCAGTGGTGTTGTGCGTCTGGAGGAAACAATACGTGGAAGAACAAAAATGTAATATGGTCGCGGCATTCATTGCTTTTCTTCGACTTTATCTCCTTTATATTATACTGGTGATTCTGCCAGTAACATATTTCCAGTCCTAGGGGGCCAACTGTATCTACTACTAGGGATACACTGATACCGATACTAGTATTGGTGCCGATACCGAGTATTTGGGCAATTACTCGCCTAACTGCTCCGATACTTACCTCCGATACCAGAGCTTCCGGTCAGAATGAGATCCCCTCCGACGGCAAGTGCCGAGGAAGCATGGAGCTGGCTTCCTTTCCAATCAGGAAGCCTAGTGGTGGGTTATGACCTGCCTGCCGGCTTCCTGATTGGCTAGGAAGCCGGCTTCACATGTTGCTAGGCAGCCTGGCTTGCTAACCAATCAGGAAGCTGGGCGGCACATAATGACCCACGTCCTGGCTTCTTGCTTGGTCAGGAAGCCAAGGTACCTAGCATCAAGTGACGCCGACTTCCTAGGACCTAGCCAATCAGGAAGCCAGAAGGCAGGTCAAAAAAGGCCGCCCGGCTTCCTGGTTGGCTAGGAAGCCAGCTTTACTTGTTGCCAGGAATCTGGACAGCACCTCATGACTCGCCGGCCAGCTTCTTGATTGGTCAGGACGCCAGGCAGCCGCGGCAAGCAAAGCCGGTGTTCTTTACCTGTGAAGCCGGGGTGTTCTAGCGAATCAGGAAGCCGGGCGATGGGTCATGATCTGCTCCCCGACTTCCTCATAATCTTTAATAATACTTACCTCCGATAACGGAACTTCCGGTCAGAGGGAGATCTTCCTCTGACCGGCAGTGCCGAGGGAGCATACAGCCGACTTCCTTTCTAATCAGGAAGCCAGGCGGTGGGTTATGACCTGCTTCCAGATCGGCTAGGAAGCAGCTTCACTTGGTAGGCAGCCTGCCTTCCTAACCAATCAGGAAGACGGGCAGCATGTAATGACCCGCCTCCTAGATTGGTCAGGAAGCCAGGCTGCCTAGGAACAAGTGAAGTCACATCATGCTGCCCGGCTTCCTGATTGGCTAGGAAGCCAACTTCACGTGTTGGTAGGCAGCCTGGCTTGCCAGCCAATCAGGAAGCTGGGGCAGCACTTAATGACCCATGTTCCGGCTTCCCAATTAGTCAGGAAGCCACGCTGCCTAGAAACAAGTGAAGCCGGCTACCTAGCCAATCAGAAAGCCAGGAGGCGGGTCATGAGTAGCCGTCTGGCTTCCTGATTGGCTAGGGAGCCGGCTCCACTTGTTGGCAAGGAAGCCGGCTCCACTTGTTGGCAAGGAAGCCCGGCTTCACTTGTTGGCAATTCACTTGTTGGCAAGGAAGCCGGCTCCACTTGTTGGCAAAGAAGCCGGCTTCACTTGTTGCTAGGCAGCCTGGCTTCCTGACCAATTAAAAAGCTGGACGGCACCTCGTGACTCGCCCCCCGGCTTCCTGATTGGTCAGGGAGCCAGGCAGCCTTGGCAAGTGAAGTCAGTGTTCTTTCAGTAGAACACCAGCTTCACAGGCAATCAGGAAGCCAACTTCCTAATAACCGGGGCACAAGTACTCGGTATTGGCGAGTACTGAAAAAACAAATGTCAGTACTTGTACTTGATATCGAAAAACCGGTATGGGTGCATCCCTAGTATCTATGGAGAGAAGCTGCACTGTCACCCTAGGACAGGACTACACAAACCTTCCCCTCTTCTATTTTTTTATAACAGAGAGGTAGGGTTCTAAAGTCCTCAGAGATAGCCAAGAACAATGGAACTGATAACACAGCTCAGGAAGTTAGCAGCTCACACAATTTCTGGCAGGATCAACAGGTATTCTTTTTTATCGAGCAGCTATAACACACACTTCCAATGGTATATTTAACAAACAAAGAGGAGAAGTTCATTGTTAGAGCTTAAACATCCTTTAATGAGTTTTCTAAAACCAACATTTGCTACTGAATCATTGAACAGGGAAGTGCTCGGCTCAGCCAGTACACGGCGTGTTCATTAGTCCCCCATCTTCAAAATGAATGAAAACAAAGAATTTCCCGGGACCCTCCGAATAAAGTCTGATATCCTAATCCTAGTCTTTGTATGACCGTGTGCTGCGCAAGCTGCTCCTTATACCTCAGGAGGAGAAGCACATTGGTCCAGGGTAAGTGAAGTATCGTGGTCGGGCGGCAATGGAACTCAATGAGAGGTGCTGAATGCAATTGCATAATTGGAGCTAGCAGGTATTATTAAGCCGCCCAGAGAGAGGTGTTAAAACAGCATTGCCACATACTAGGGATGCATTGATATTAGCATCGGTGCCGATAACGAGTATTTGGGCGAGTTCTTGTACCCGTACTTACCTCTGATACCAGAACTTCCTGTCAGAGGGAGATTTCCTGTGAGGGGTAGTGCTGCGAGAGCACATGAAGTGGGCCTCCCGGCCAATCAGGAGGCCGGGAGGCGGGTAATGACTCACCACCCGGCTTCCTGATTGTACAGGAAGCTGGCTCCATGCAGTTTGGCCGGCTCAATGCCAATTGGCCAGTAAGCTGCCTTCCCGGGCATTCATCATGGAGTCAGCCAAACAGCATGGGGTCAGAGACCTCATGGAGGTAAGGTGCTGATTGCATTTGCAAGATTGGAGCTAGCAGGTGTTATTAAGCCACCCAGAGAGAGGAAACAGAATTGCCACATACTAGGGATGCATTGATACTAATATCGGTGCCGATACCGAGTTCTTGTTTGCGTACTTACCTCCGATACTGGAACTTCCGGTCAGAGGGAGATTTCCTCTGACCAGTAGTGCCAGTAGGGAACATAGAGTAGGCTTCCCAGCCAATCAGGAAGCCGGGCGGCAGGTAATGACCCGCCTCCCGTATTGGCCGGGAAGCTGTTTCCATGTTGATTGTCCGGGAAGCCGGCTTTCCAGCCGATCAGCATGGAGCCGACTTCCGGGGGAATCTTAAAGCTGGGCGGTAGGTAATAACATGCCTCCTGGTTTGCAGATTGCCCAGGAAGCCGGCTCCAGGCTAGCGGCAGTCTCGGGACTCGGTATAAATATCAGTACTCATACCCGATACCGAAAAAACGGTATGGGCGCATCCCTACCTCATACAATGCTGTTAACACCTCTCTCTGGGGGGCCTAATATCATGTGTGCGGTAAGTTCAGTCTCTTCCAAGTGCAAGATTCCCGGCTGCTCAGAGCACTTGGCAAGGAATGTCACCGCACCCGTCCAGTTTGCGATGGAGAAATAGACTGCACTTGCTGCACCCCATGTTAGTAAACCGTCCAGACAGAGGTGTTATAATGTATGTATGTGGCAATGCTGCTTTAACTCCTCTCTCTGGGTGGCTTACTAACACCTGCTAGCTCCAATTATGCAAACGCAATGAACACCTTACCTCCATGAGGTCCCTGACCCCATGCTGGTTATGATAAACACATTATGTTGATTATACATTCACTATATGTATTCCCAGATCATTCTGAATAACTTGTTCAAAAACTGAGAAAGCTGGTCGGATGACCAGCGAAATGTCTTCAAAAAATACAGCCAGTTTCCTTGATTTATTTTCTGCAGCCACAGATGAGGCGTTTCCTGTGTGTTTGCCAATTCAGTGCTTGCGCTTCCTGTGCAGGTTACCAGTTGTCTCGAGAAGGGTCACTGCCCATTTTGTACAGCGTTTTGCACATAAGTATCACAATCACATCTAGGGAACCTGCAAAGACCCAACTCCTACTCAAGGGATTGTTCATGGTCGTAAGGATCGGGTTCCATCCTTTTATGTCAAGGTGCACTCTATTACATCTGTTGGCACTTCTCGGCATTATTCAATATTGTAGGGAACCTGCAAAGGCCCAACTCTTACCCAAGGGACTCCAACCAATTTTTCATCCCAAATCAACTGACCAAAGAGTGATGGGGCAAGCCAGAAAGATTGGCAGTTTCTAGTTGACTGCTAAAACAGGATCACCTAAGCTCAGAGTTAAAACAACCCAATATATTTGGACTAGCGCTAAGGTCAACCAAAAATGTACATGGGTGTATGCAACGGCACTCATCATCTCCTCTGCTGCCAGAGGGCGATTCCCTACTTGGTCATTTCAAAACTGATCTCCAGATAAGTTAGGAGTGCGGTGTATGTCTAGCCACAAACATTTTTTTTTCTTGTCCATTGAGGGACACAGGAAGTCTTGGACCATCAAGTTATACTGCCACCTACAGGCAACAACAAAAAACAGCCACTCCCAGTACCAGCATGCATCCGTTTTTGTCTAGTGTCCTAGAAGGATGGAAACCTCTTCTATAAGCTCTGCTGTGCTAAGACTTCTCTACAGTGCTGCTGGAGCTTCGTCTCGTTTGCAGCCGTGGTTGTCCCCTGCCTGGCTTTTGGAGTACTGTGTCCAGACCAAGCTGGACTGTGCATACAGGGACAGCCTGAAGTGACCCTTGGCCCCTGGGTCTTGCGTGAAGCTCCATTTTGGTAAGATTTAGCTGTGGAGAGCGTTTCCCAGGCCTCACCACCTGTCCTGTTGCTGAAGACTCAGTTCATGAGTAGGTCAGTTGACCCAAGCACTGGGGTCTACCTCCATTATTTGGGTCTCTGGGTGCCTCTCCGTTGGTATTACCGTGGAAGGGGTTGACGCTGTGGGACTGATTGTAGGTATCATCTGCTGGGCTGGACGCCAAGCATTGCCCACTATACGTTCCCTGTAATAAAAATAATCTTGCCCGGTTTTTATTTCTACTTTACGATGGAATAATGACGCCGATGTGCGCACACGCCAACTTGTCTTTCACATCATAGTATAGGAACCTCTTCTTTTCTGTGGGATCTGACATGTGACAGAAGAGAGGCTTTGTGCGAGTACTCTTTCCCACATTCAGAACACGAATAGGGGCGATTACCGGTGTGGACTCTCTGATGCCGAACCAGATTTGATTTATCGGTAAAACGTTTACCACACTCGGCGCAGGAGTAGGGCTGGTCACTAGTGTGGACTGCCTGATGTCTGAGCAGATGGGACTTAAGAGAAAAACCTTTCCCGCACTCTGTACACATGTAGGGCCGTTCCCCGGTGTGGATTCTCCTGTGTTTAGCAAGGTCCGAACGGTCGTTAAAACATCTGCCACAATCGAAACATGAATATGGCTTCTCCCCTGTGTGGCACCTTTGGTGCTTAATGAGCCCTGAACTCCTGGAAAAACTTTTCCCGCATTCAGGACATGAAAAGGGCTTCTCCCCCGTGTGCGATCTCATATGGGTGATCAGATTCCCCTTCTCGGTGAAGCATTTATTGCATTCAGAGCAGGCGAAAGGCTTATCAGAGGTGTGAGTCTTTTCATGGGTGTAAAGAGCCGAACTTTGCCGGAAGCATTTCCCACATATCGAGCACGAGTAAGGCTTCTCGCCCGTGTGTGTCCTTTCGTGGGTGGAAAGAGCCGAACTCTGCCTGAAGCACTTCCCGCACACTGGACACGTGTAGGGCTTTGCGCCCGTGTGCGTCCGTTCGTGAGTGAAAAGGCTGTTTCTCTGAGAAAAGGATTTGCCGCACTCCGAGCACGTATATGGTTTCTCCCCGCTGTGGACGCGCTCGTGTCTGCCGAGGGAGGATTTGTATATAAAACATTTCCCACACTGGGGACACGAAAATTGCTTTGTTCCAGTGTGACTTTTACGATGTACGATGAGCTCTCCCCTGCTGTTGAAACATTCCCCACAATCAGGGCAGGGGAAGGCTTCACCCACTGTGTGGTGAGTGATGGGAGATGATGGATCAGCAAAGCTCATGCCACGTGTCGTGGGATCAGATGGTGAATCTGCGCCGTGTGCTTCTGGGGTAATCGGGTTTTCTTCTGAAAATTCCCATTTGATGTTTTCCTCTTCAGCATCTGGATAGATGGCGGGCTGTTTGTCTGTATTATCCCCGTTGTGTTGTCCACCTGGAGGAAAGAATATGTGGAAGGGAAGTTCGAGTGATGTGAGTTCAAGCGCATTTAAACAAAATGTAATATACGGCAGCTTACCAGTCCTTAAATGTGGCGGCTGCATTACTCTATTTATCCCCCTTCATGTCACCTGACCTAGGGTGACAACACTCACTCACAGTATCTATGGAGAGAAGCTGCATTGCCACCCTAGCAAAGGGCGTAACTAAAAATCACGGGGCCCAATAGCAACATTTTGTATGAATTCCTGTGATTTCTAGTTACGCCCTTTGCAGAGCCCACCTGAGAGTGACCCTGCAGAGCCCACCATAGACTCTCTATGGTGGGCTCTGCAGGGTCTCAGGTGGGCTGGTCACACCCCTGCACACGTCTTACCTGTCAGCCTTCTCCACTGCCAGGCCCCGCCTCCTCCATGGTCACTGGCTGGCCCAGACTCCTCCTCAATCACCAGGCCTAGCCTCCTCCTCCACTGCCTAAGCCAGGCCCAGCCTTCTCCTCCACTGCCACTGACTCAGCAGCGGCTGTAAAGAGAAACGCGTCAGTTATCTGAACAGCGGCGCGTTCCTCCTCACAGCCGCCAGTGACAGCCAGAAGACTGCAATGCCATAGCGACCCACACGTGATCAGGGGGACCCTTTTGTTCCTCGTCCTGACCGGGCACCCCTGTGCCCCATAACGGCCGCCTGGGTCGCTATGGTGATAGCTCCGCCACTGACCCTAGGATACCACTAAAGAAACCCCCACTTCCTGTCCCCTTGAACATAGAAGGGTAGGGTTCTGTAGTCCCCAGATAGGTGAGAACATTGTAATTGAGAACAGTCAGCACAGGCAGAGAGTACATGACGTCATCAGCCAATAGGATTCCTGGCAAGATCTACAGATATATTTGTTTGATGTGCAAAAAAAGTAACAAAACTCATCCAATGGTATAGTACTAAAAGGGAGCAAGTAAAAGTCCACCATGGATGAGGCGTTTCCTGTGCGTTTCCCGATGTGGTGCTTGCACTTCCTGTACGGGTTACCAGTCGTCTCGAGAACGGTTACAGCCCAAAACGGTTGCCCGTCATGTACGACCTTTTGCACATGCGTATCACAGTCACATCTAGGGAAGCTGCATAGGCCCAACTCCTACTCAAGGGACTGTTCGTGGTCTGAAGGATCGGGTTCCACCCTTTTATGACAAGGCGCACTCTACTACATCTGTTGGTGCTTCTCTGGCTTTTCGGCATTATTCAAATTTTGCCAGGCTGCCACCCGGTCTTCTGTTCACATTTTCTCCTACCAGGTGGACGCTGAGATCTCATCTCATGCCAGCTTCAGGTAAAAGGTCCTTCAGGGGGCTCTACGAGCTGCAGGCAGACCCTAGTTCTGTTGTCTTGAGTTTGTTTGCCGTGTTGCCCACCCTTCAGTTGGAACTGGCCTTGGACGCCCTGAAGACTCGAGGTTTCCTTCGTCTCCCGATGGACGAGAAAATAGGATTCTTTTCTACTTGTGGATAGAGCGGGGAAGGATAAGAATTCCTTTGGGGTTTTCAAGGCTAATCAGGGTCCCAAATGTCCCCTCACTTTCTATCCAATGGACACAAGGTATGGGCATAACTGGGACACAGAAAGAAAAAAACATTTGCCCTTCCCCACGCTCTCATGTTGGTTCGTGTTCACTTCCTGATTGATAAAACGTTGTCAGCAGGACAGGAAGCAAGGGGAAATACTCTCTAAAGGAGCCCAGATAGTGATAAAAGCCCAATAAGGGTTCTAACTAGGAATGCACCAATACTGGTATTTCGGTATCGAGTACGGATATAGTACCATTAAGGAAGCCAGGCGGCGTATAAAGACTCGCTACCCGGGTTCCCGATCAGCAGGGAAGCCGTCCTCATGCTTTTCGTCACTAGGTTACGAGAAAGCATGGAGCCGGCTTTCTGGCCAATCAGGAAGCCGGGCGCCGTGTAAGGACGTGCCGCCCCCGGCTTCCTGATTGGCCGGGAAGTAGTCTCCCTCGTCATGAGGTGACGAGGGAACATGAAGCCAGCTTCCCGGCCAATCAGAAAGCCAGATGCTGCATCATTACACGACGCCCGGCTTCCCGAATGGGCAGCTTCCCGATCAGGAAGACAGGCAGCGAGTCATTACATGCTGCCTGGCTTCCTGATTCCTGAATGGGCAGCTTCCCGGCCAATCAGGAAGCCGGGCAGCGTGTAATGACTCTCTGCCCCACTTCCTGATACCGGAAGTATCGGGCTAGGCATCAAAGCATTTGGGCGAGTACAAGTACTTGTCCAAACACTTGGCATCGGCACCGATACTAGTATCGGTGCATCCCTAGTTCTAACCCTTCCCTACTGTGTCAAAGACTAAGAAACAAACATTTTGCTGAACCGACACAAACTGAAATCTCCTGGCTCCCCAAATGAGCAAATACCCATCTCCTGACAGAGGAGAGGGGAGAAGAAGAGATTGTTGTAGTGACTGAACAAGGAGAATCTGGGACTCTTTTCTGGATTTAGTGTTTTTTCCTCACCTGTGCCGATCTCTGTAGGGATTTCCTCCTCCTTACACGTATAGTCCCCGCTCACATACGTATCTTCCACTTCAACAACAATCAGGCCTTTATCCTGGATAAGACATGATGGAATACATTGTTAGCAGTGCCTATAGTATGATCGAAGTGTAAAGTTCTTTCTTTTTTCATTATTAAGGTGCTCAGTCCCATCTACCTGGTCATAGTGAGGGATCTCATGATGTTCCTGAGGGATCTTCTGATGTTCCTGAAGGATCTCCTTATGTTCCTCCATGGAGTCCCAGGAATACAGAGGATGGACCTGAGGGATCTCCTGATCTTCCTGATGGATCTCCTTATGTTCCTCCTTGGAGTCCCGGGAATACAGAGGATGGACCTGAGGGATCTCCTGATGTTTCTGTGTGGAATCCCGGGAATACAGAGGACGGGCCTGAGGGATCTCCTGATGTTCCTGTGTGGAATCCCGGGAATACAGAGGATGGACCTGAGGGATCTCCTGATGTTCCTGTGTGGAATCCCGGGAATACAGAGGACGGGCCTGAGGGATCTCCTGATGTTCCTGTGTGGAATCCCGGGAATACAGAGGATGGACCTGAGGGATCTCCTGATGTTCCTGTGTGGAATCCCGGGAATACAGAGGACGGGCCTGAGGGATCTCCTGATGTTCCTGTGTGGAATCCCAGGAATACAGAGGACGGGTCTGAGGGATCTCCTGATGTTCCTGTGTGGAATCCCGGGAATACAGAGGACGGGGACATCTCTCTGGGGTCTTTCTCTTCCTGGATCCATCTGCAGAAAACAAACACACACTGACTGAATAATAGGATATTTGTAATTACTGTAAAATCCATCTTCTTGGAGTCCATCGAGGGACACAGGAATTCAGATACAAATCAGGTTATACCGATGCCTACTGGAGGATTGGACAAACAGGAAAATTGTACGCTAGCCCCCAGTATAACCCCTCCTCTACCTAGCATGCAGTTTTGTAGTAAAGCAGTATTTAGGGCATGAACAAAAACACAGCAGGGTCAGGACATATGTCCCTCAATGGACTACAAGTAATAGACTTTACATAAGTATAAGAATATTAATTTTGTTTTGCATCCATTGAGTGCCACAGCGATTCAGATACAGTTGGGAGGTCCAAAAGCAGTCCAACTGAGGGGGGGCAATACAGCCAAAAACTACTCATGTAGTAGTGATGTAGTGATGTGAGCGGCCAGCATCTCTCCTCCCACACTGCTCAGCCTCCTGTCACAGATCGGGAGAGCGGTGTGGGGGCGGAGAGACAGCCAGCGCTGTCACAGGAGGCTGAGCTCTCTTCTTGCCCCACCCATCCTCCTGTGACAGCCAATCCAGGAGCGAGAGCGGCGGTGTGGGCGGAGACCGCTGTCATTGCTGTCACCGGAGGCTGAGCTCTCCTCCCGCACCACGCCGCCCAGCCTCCTGTGACAGCTGTCAGGATGGAGAGCGGGTACAAGCAGTGATCAGTGAGTGTTTGTAAATAATTGAGGACATCGTATGGTTACTATATCCCCAATTATGAATGAACAGGAAGTGATCTACATCATTTCCTGTTTATTCATGATTGTGGTTATAGTAAGCACACTCTGTCCACATGTTAGGAATGAACAGGAACACTCAGTATAGAGGATTCCTGTTCATTGATAACAGGGGCTGCAGAAAAAGAGATTGAGGGCTCTGTGTTCTCAATTTCTTTTTCTTTTGTAAAAGGGAAATATCAGGGGTCTGTTTAGACCCCTAATATTTCCCCGAAGCCCCTAAAATTAAAGTGAAAATATTTAATACAAATGAATAAAATAAAATGTACATTTTTTTAAAGTTTATAAAAAAATAGAAATAAAATATATTTAAAAAAAGAAATGTTTATAAAAAATTAAAATATTTTAAAACAATTGAAAGTTAGAATAAAAAACATTTTCGGTTTCGGTCCAACATTTTTTTTAAAAAACTGAGGCATGCTGGATATGGGAGGGATTATACAGGGGATGACTTAAGACTTTTCTGTTTGGGAGTGTCCAATCCTGCCACAAATTTGGAGGAACCAATTTTTCACGTGACCATACTTGGTGATTGGCTGCTCCAGCGTCTAGTACTGTCACATGGGATCAGTACAACCCAACTGTAACCCAACTGTATCGGAGTTCTTGTGCCCGCCATGGATGAGAAAGAAACATGGGGGGGATTTATCAACACTGGAGCAGACAAAAGGTGTACGTTTAACCACTTGCCGTCCGCCCGTTGTAAAAAAACGGACGGACGGCACTGCTGCATTGGCGGGTTGCCGTCTCCAGACGGCAATTTTTTCTGCTACCAAGAAATGAAAGTCTCCTCTTACCCGGTGATGTGAGGGTCAGCCGGTTCTCCATCATGACGTCCTTGTAGAGGTCCTTGTGTCCTTCTATATACTCCCACTCCTCCATGGAGAAATAGACAGAGACGTCCTGACACCTTATAGGAACCTGACACACACAATGATACAGTCACCATCCGGACACATCCCTTGTCTGTTCCTGGATCATGTCCCAGAATTCCCAGCTCACCTCTCCTGTCAGCAGCTCAATGATCTTCTGGGTGACTTCTAGAATTTTACCGGTGGTGTTTCCCTCAAGTATTAGGGAGTAAGGTGGAGGCTTCATGATGGGGCTCTTGCTCCTCGACACATTAGATTGGCTAAAAGGTGTCACATGATCACCGGACATCTTCCTCACTACTGTGTAATCCTGTATATGGAAACAAATGTATAGAACTACAGTGGTACAGCGGTTCACAAACTTAATTTGTTCCACGATTCTGGTCGCGAACCGAATCAAACTGTCATCAGACCGCAATCTCGACTAGAGGAAGCCACAACCACGTGTCAGAGCAGGGAAGATGGCTGCGGTTGTGTTCGTCACCGAACTTCCTGTTCGCGAACAGAAGTGTTCGTGAACAGAAGCTTCTGAACCGTGGTGACACTATATAGAGAGGATAAAAGGTTTGATAAACTGATAGAAAAGACAATACATCTCATACAATAAATTTGTATTTTACTAGCTCAGAATGAAGTCATGTGACCTCCCAGAATCCTCCTCACCTCTCCAGTTAGCAAGTAGATGATCTCCAGGGTGAGGCTTAAGATCGTCTTGGTCACCTTCTTCCTTTCCTCATCTGTTCCCTGTGGATCAGCCATGGTCAAAGTAACAGACTCAACTGTTTATTGAAGGACCTTCCCATGAGGAGATCAGGCTGGAGCCAATTATGGAATGAAGTTGAAGCAATAGAAGGATGGCCTATGGATAAAAATGTTTGTGACTTCAGTGGGTTTTCCCATTTTATAGATGGTCACCTGTCGCTACATCCTTCCCGACCAGAACTTTCATCAGTCCTAGTGCCAATTCCACTAAATGTGTGTTAGGAACATCATTTGTAATAGAAGTGTCCATACAGTGGTGTCTACAAAGACTCTCCAAGCCTGGCAAGGTACAAGCAGTTCCTTGTTGAACTTTACAATAGTTTGAATGTTCATAGAGTGAAGAAAAAAAAAACATTGGCACCGTGGTTGGACAGTTTGGAGATGTTTTCTGTCAATCTCTGTCACTAGCTTCTCCAACATGGCCAATGGATGGCTGTTAAGGATGACATTGGGATGTCCCAAGGGTCTGATGGAATGATCAGACGCTCTGATATAGGGATACGTTATAGTGACCCTGTGCTATAGCCAGGAACAGGTTAACTATAACTGTGACCCTCATAGTCACCTTCCCTTCGCTCCTCTGCTGTTATGCTCAGCCGCCATGATTGAGGAGAAGTCCCCAGTACTGCCAAGTATGGAGGGACCAATGTTTCACTCCCCTTCCTTTCACGTGACCATACTTGGTGATTGGCTGCTCCAGCGTCTAGTCACATGGGGTCAGTAAGAGAGTCCTAGGCCCTATGTGAGCTCCAGGCCATGTTCTGAAGGACATCCACTGGTTGAATAGAGCAGCGAGGCAGTAAAGGGTTGGGGAGCATAAGCTGATGGACCTGAAAGAGACCCAGTCAGGTCTGTAAAGAAATCAAACCACCAAGACCCCGTCAAAGGAAAACCATTCTACTCGCCTTTCCTGGGGCCCGTGTGTCACACCTCCTTCCAGGCCTGCAACCTCCGTCAGTGTCTTTGGCACTAGACACTTCTGGGAGGGTCCAGTACTTGTGTCCCGCGCCACATACTTTAGTTCGCTCATCATCTAACCCCTATGTCACAGCTGGGTCCTGTAGAGACTCTTGGAAGTGGTAAAAACCATAGAATCTTACAGGAGGATCCAGGACACACGGGCCACCAAAGAAGTGAGTAGAATAGGTAGTCTCTTCCAGGAACCTGACAATTTCAAGTCAACATATTATAAAGGAATGCACTGAAATTTCGCCCACCGAAACAGATCGGCCAAAAATGGCACTTTTGGCAAAATGCTGAAAGAACCATCTTTTGGCTGAAAGGTGCATCCCTGGTTTCTCTCCTCCCCTCTGACACGAAGAAGCATCCAGCGGGGAGGAGAGAAACGCTCAACCAGCCGAGAGGAGGAGAGCGATGTGAGCCGCGATGTCACAGGAGGTCGAGCTCTCCTCCCGCATCGCCCCGCCTTTTGTAACAGATCAGGAGAGCGGTGGTGTGGGGGCGGAGACAGCTGTCACTGGAGGCCCGGGCCGGCAGTGCAGGGGAGGAGTCAGCTGTCACAGAAGGCTGAGCTCTCCTCCCCACATCGCTCGCTCAGCCACCTGTGACAGCGAGTCAGAATGGAGAGCGGGTACAAGCAGTCAGTGATCAGTGACTGCTTGTAAGGACATAGTATGTTTACTGTGTGCCCAATTATGAATGAACAGGAAGTGCTCTACATCACTTCCTGTTCATTCATGATTGTGCACATGGTAAACACACTATGTCCTCATGTTATGAATGAACAGGAGCACTCAGTATAGAGGATTCCTGTTCATTTATAACAGGGGCTGCAGGAAAAAGAGATTGAGGACTCTGTGTCCTCAATCTGCTTTTCTATTTTAAAAAGGGAAATACCCGCGGTCTGTTTAGACCCCCTAATATTTCCCCCGAAGCCCCGAAAAGTAAAGTAAAATAATACAAAATAATTATAAAGAAATAAACAATATAAAATATATATTTTTTTAAATAGAAAAACAAGTAAAAAAATATAAAAAAAGAAGTTTAGAAAAAAATATAAATGAAATATAAAAAAAAAACTATTAAAAAGTTAGAAAACAAAAATATTTTCAGTTTCAGTCTGACAATTTTTTTTATTTTTGGTTTTAAATTTTTTTTAATTTCGGTGCATATTATGTGCAAAACATATTATGCTTTATATGTCGCCTATTGTCACTAGGCCGGAAAGTGAAAGGAAATCTCCCTGATGGGACACAAACCACAAACAAAGACCACAGCAACGATGTCGAAACACAAGATACGCAATCCTTATATACAGTCCGATGTCGTAAAGGCGAAATCATTAGGTTGTCCAATATAGTATGTCCCACGGCAACGCCATGACATCACGCAACATAAAAATGGTTCTAGTAAAGTTGGAGACTGATCATGATTGCCAAGCACTACCCGTGTCTACAGGCCTTTTAATTTATAGCAACCCCCCTCCCATTATAGTCCCTCTATAAACTCATAATAAAAATAAATATAACATATTAAACCTGTTCCAGGGGGATCTCCTCAGCTCAGCCACACACAGCCTGCACCACAGAAGGAAAGATGCAATAGGCAGAGCAGGAGAATGTTACAACCTGCTTCTTCTCCAAGCTCCAGAATTTTCTTTAGAGCCACAACAAAATGGCTGCTGCTGCGCTTCCGTCCCTTTCATTTGGGCTACATCAAAATGGCCGCGATTCTCAGTTGTTTGAGCAATTCGGCCACCCGGGGGGGGGGGCGCAGGTAGCTAGTGACAGAATGTAGTATGCGGTCATCCGCCAGCAGAGGGCGCAGGTAGGCAGTGACAGCTTGTAGTATAGGTCACCCGCCAGCAGAGGGCGCAGGACGGCAGTGACAGCTTGTAGTATACATTCATCCGCCAGCAGAGGGCGCAGGTAGGCAGTGACAGAATGTAGTATGCGGTCATCCGCCAGCAGAGGGCGCAGGTCTGCGCTCTTCTATTTATCCTTTTATCATGTACAACGTAAGCAAAATAAATTTGTTACCGAAAGTGGGGCATAGTAGGGGATAAACCCGGAAGTGGGGCATAGTGGAAGTTTCCCGGAAGTGGGGCGTAGCAGAGGCTAATTCCGGAAGTGGGGAGCAGGCAAGGGACTTCAGGTTAGGGTTGCAAAGCTGCAGGTGAGTGTTGGTTGTGACAATGAGCTGGTGAATATTAATGAGCAGTAATGAATATTCATAGAAGGGGATTGTGGGAGCTGGTTGTCTCCCCTTTCTCATTAATTATGCCTCTGTAGAAGAGAGGGCAGACACAGAAGAGGCCAGTAGTATGCTAAATACACTACATGTGGGATTGTTGGTATTGATGCCAATAGTAACCAATCAGGATCTATTTTTGTGATGAAGCCCCTTGGAGAAGTGTTGCTGCGGGCCAAGGAATGCCCCTGTCGCAACTGATTGGGCTGGGAGGGGGTGTGAGAGTCAAAGTTTTGCATGGGCTTGGGTAAACTCTGGCTAGCTGGGTCGCAGCAAGCCCCCCACACATCACTAGTGGTAAGATCCCCTCACCATATCCTACTTGTCCTGCATCGCACTGCACCATATCAATCCACACAGCGCGACATACCGGTGGAGTAGGCAGAGTGAGCTTGTGGCTTGTCTCATGCCACGGAGCCCCTGCCTGTGTCATTGAAAAAAATCACCAGCGACAGAGCAGCACTCTTAAAATGACAGGACCCAATCACCCGATTGGGTTGTTATCCAGTCGCCATGGCGACCAGAAATTGTCCTGCCCTGATATAGAGAAAACCCAAGCTTACCACGTATGGGAGAATGAGCAGAGGGCAGTCCAAGCACCGCCACATGGGGGGAGGGTGGCGTCTAAACCCACAGACGTATCAACTTTCAGAAAGTAATTATTTGCATAATGAGGTAGAGCAGCGCCATACAGGGAACCAAGTGCCAAATGAAAGGCAGGTCATGGTGTCTTTTGTCAGAACCGCTGATGTGCATTCTTGTTGCATGGCCTTGTACTGTATTGAAGCAATGGGATCACCATAACAGCCAAGCAAGTAGCATTTTCAAAAGGAGAGGTCAGCAATGGTTGGCTCTACACTCCTTCCGTATAGGTTGAAGATATTTTTGTTAACATTGATGGGAAGATATGCATCCGTTTCAGGATAATATCAGCCATTGCCTGTTAATAAAGTCTCATTGTTTTAACAGGTGGCTGCTCGGCTACGATAAATGTTACATCTGAGAGAGGAGGCGGGCTTCACGTCCTAGCCACACCCCCTCCTCCAGTGACACCCACCAACATCAAACTGGGTAGCAGAACAGACGCAAGGATCTGGAGAAGGACCTCATGATGGAGAACCGGCCCCCCCTCAAATCACCGGGTAAGAGTAGAGTTTCATTTCCTGTAAAGGAGAGAAGAGTACTGAGGATCCCCCTAGATACACACATCCTCTGATATAAAGACATAGAAACAATGTATTCAGTCAGGGTGTGTGTTTCCTACAGATGGATCCAGGAACAGAAATACCCCAGAGAGATGTCCCCGTCCTGTGTATTCCCGGAACTCCATGGAGGAACATCAGGAGATCCCTTGGAAGAATCATGAGATCCCTCAAGAACAGCATGATACCCCTCAGGAAGATCAGGTAATGAGAACGAAACTTCTTCACAATACTTAATATCATTTTTAGATTTGCTTAGTGGCTCTCACGTAATAAATGAAATTCCTCTTTTACATTTTAAGAGTGAAAGTTACATTAAAATTGAAGTTGAAGATGAAGACCCATATGTGATTAATGATGAGCCGTGTAAGGTGGAGGAACGTTCTCCAGAGATCAGCCCAGGTGAGGAATAAATACTAAATCCAGAAAAGAGTCCCAGATTCTCCTTGTTCAGTCACTACAACAATCTCTTCTTCTCCCCCCTCCTCTGTCAGTAGACAGTAATGGGGGGACGGAATGTTTCTAGTGGGGGGAGTCAGGAGCCATTAGCTTCTATTAGACTCCCGCTCTCCTCCTCACATCGTGTCATTGTGTGTTACCAGCCAAGACACGTGACCAGTCTCCCCCCACACACACTCTCTGGGGTCTCTCATACATCTCAGTACAGGGGGCTTCACTCTCATCTCTATTCACAGACACCAGAGACATTCGGAGAGACATCAAAACTGAAGAGGACGAAGGATGTGTGAGGATTAAAGCTGAGGAAATTCCTACAGAGATCAGCTCAGGTAATTCAATAAATATAGAAGACATTCAGAGAACATGTACCAATGACTGCTTGGTTGGCCTGTTGTGGCTTATCCAGGTTGTGAAGCTTGCCCTTTAAAACTTGCTATAGACTCGGCCAAGATTTGAGCAGTGTGAGGCCCTGCCATGATTCTTCTGTTCAACAAAAGTTGTTTCTTCAATAGACTGTTTTCGAGGCAGCTGGCCCAAAAATTGCCAGCTGAAGAACATAGCTGGAGTTGCCTCCATCTTTAGCGTGAATGGGGGAATCAAGTGATTGGACAGTTTTAGGCTTTGATCCAAGGAGTTCTCCTTTGCTTAAAAGTTTGTTACCCACAAAGGTTTGGGGGCAACTGACAAACACACCTTTTACAGTACGTATGCACTGATACCGGGCATTTTCATGATTACTCATACTCGGGACAATGCCCTGAGGCTAAGTGCCGGTACCGGCTCTTGAAATTTTTAAACTGAAGCTGGTGCTGGAAACAGGCACCGCCGTTCACAGGAAGGCTGCTGAGGTCGCCAGTAAGGCAGCCTTCATCTGAATTGTGGCGCCCGTTTACAGCGCCAGCTGCAAATCTCCTCCTTCCTGAAACCATGCCACCTGCACCCGCCCATAAGACCAGCTGGGACCCCTGCTAAGACCCCGCTTAGACCCCTCACAGATTTCTGAGACCAGCTATAGAGGGTTACAAATCCCAGCAAAACATTATACAGCAATGCAGAATACCATCAGCTATAGAGGACTACAAAGCCCAGCAATACATTATACACCAATGCAGAATACCATCAGCTATAGAGGACTACAAAGCCCAGCAATACATTATACACCAATGCAGAATACCATCAGCTATAGAGGACTACAAATCCCAGCAATACATTACACAGCATTGCAGAATACCTTCAGCTATAGAGGACTACAAATCCCAGCAATACATTATTCATTAATTTAGAATTCCATCAGCTATAGAGGACTACAAATCCCAGCAATACATTATACAGCAATGCAGAATAATACAATCAGCTATAGAGGACTACAAATCCCAGCAATACATTATACAGCAATGCAGAATACCATCAGCTATAGAGGACTACAAATCCCAGCAATACATTACACAGCAATGCAGAATATCAGCAATAGAGGGCTACAAATCACAGCAATACATTATACAGCAATGCAGAGTACCAGCAATAGAGGACTACAAATCCCAGCAATACATTATACAGTAATGCAGAATTCCATCAGCTATAGAGGACTACAAATCCCAGCAATACATTTTACAGCAATGCAGAATACCATCAGCTATAGAGGACTACAAATCCCAGCAATGCAGAATTCCATCAGCTATAGAGGGCTACAAATCCCAGCAATACATTACACAGCAATGCAGAATACCATCATCTATAGAGGACTACAAATCCCAGCAATACATTATACAGCAATGCAGAATAGCATCAGCTATAGAGGACTACAAACTCCAGCAATACATTACACAGCAATGCAGAATACCATCATCTATAGAGGACTACAAATCCCGGCAATACATTATACAGCAAAGCAGAATACCATCAGCTATAGAGGGCTACAAATCCCAGCAATACATTATACAGCAATGCAGAATAGCATCAGCTATAGAGGACTACAAATCCCGGCAATACATTATACAGCAATGCAGAATAGCATCAGCTATAGAGGACTACAAATCCCAGCAATACATTACACAGCAATGCAGACTACCATCCGCTATAGAAGACTACAAATCCCAGCAATACATTATACAGCAGTTGGAAAAGAACTAGCGATACTAATAATGTTTATAGGGTATTATTCATCTAGGGATTATCTATCAATGCAAAGAACATAAGTGATGATTGATTTTCTGTTCAGTTTGGGAATGTACGTAAGCAGACTAAAGTCCATGGTTTTGATTACGTCTGGAAGATGTAATTCTATATGTTGAAGTTATTTCCTGCACATATGTTCTTCATCAATCATGCTGGAAGGAGGGCTAGAAGACAACCGTTCACATTCCCAATTACTGAGGAAGGCCGTGGGGGTCGCTTTGTGCAGAATTTTCTAAATCGAAGTTTATGAAGAGTTTACAAACTATGAACTATCTCTCTTTACTGTAATATTTCTCGATTAAGTTATTAATATGAGAAAGAACATTGAATGATGGATAACTATATTGGTACACGCAGCATTATGGTTTAAATTATAGTTTGGATGTATTTAACTTATAGCTAAGGTTGGCAGAAAGGTGGGGGCACTCCTCCCCCCATCCCCCCTCCCTCTGTTTCCTATTAGTAGTCTTAAGAGTTTCAGCTGTGAGGTACCATACATCCCGGAGTCGGTCATATTTTAAAGTGTGAATAAAAGGCTATTCAAGGCAGATGGTGGTTCATTCTCACAATGGAAAAATGAACCTATTTTCACATTCCGGGGCACTTACACTGCAGACAACTACACACAAACACGCTAAACATTTACAAGAACATACTTATACATTTATATAACTATATTTAGATTTTGTTTCATGACATTTATTTTGTAATCATTTGTAACTTTGTAGTTCAACACATTTTTGCGTTTTATGCAAGAACGGAAGCCATTTTCTCTTTTGAACTTCTCCCTCCCTATTTCTTCAAGATAAAAAGAGTATGATATAAAAAAAAAAATCAGATTCTACAACAGCAATGCAGAATACCATCAGCTATAGAGGACTACAAATCACAGCAATACATTATACAGCAATGCAGAATACCATCAGCTATAGAGGACTACAAATCACAGCAATACATTATACAGCAATGCACAATACAATCAGCTATAGAGGACTACAAATCTCAGCAAAACATTATACAGCAATTCAGAATACAATCAGCTTTAGAGGACTACAAATCACAGCAATGCAGAATACCATCGGCTATAGAGGACTACAAATCTCAGCAAAACATTATATAGCAATGCAGAATACCATCAGCTATAGAGGACTACAAATCCCAGCAATACATTATACAGCAATGCAGAATACCATCAGCTATAGAGGACTACAAATCACAGCAATACATTATACAGCAATGCACAATACAATCAGCTATAGAGGACTACAAATCTCAGCAAAACATTATACAGCAATTCAGAATACAATCAGCTTTAGAGGACTACAAATCACAGCAATGCAGAATACCATCGGCTATAGAGGACTACAAATCTCAGCAAAACATTATATAGCAATGCAGAATACCATCAGCTATAGAGGACTACAAATCCCAGCAATACATTATACAGCAATGCACAATACCATCATCTATAGAGCACTACAAATTCCAGTAATACATTATACAGCAATGCAGAATAATACCATCAGCTATAGAGGACTACAAATCCCAGCAATACATTACATAGCAATGCAGAATACCATCAGCTATAGAGGACTACAAATCTCAGCAAAACATTATACAGCAATGCAGAATACCATCAGCTATAGAGGAATAAAAAATCACAGCAAAACATTATAGAACAATGCAGACTACAATCAGCTATAGAGGACTACAAATCCCAGCAATACATTATACAGCAATGCAGAATACAATAAGCAATAGAGGACTACAAATCCCAGCAATACATTATACAGCAATGCTGAGTACCACCAGCTATTGAGGACTACAAATCTCAGCAATACATTATACAGCAAAGCAGAATAATATGAAGCTACATACTCTTTGTTGCTCACCGGGGCTGTGCGGCACAGCCTCCTGTGGTATTCGAGTAGTTGAGGAAAAGTATCAATCTTTTGAGAAGGCTTTCCAGAAGACATGAAGCGTATCTGAGGAAATTCAGCCAAAAGTGCATTTGTGAGGTCAGGTAATGAGATTGGATGAGAAAACCTGTTCCAATTCATCCCAAAGGTGTTCAGTAGGGTCGAAGTCTGGGCTTTGTGCAGGACACTCGAGTTCCTCTAAACCAGTGGTACTCAATCTGTGTAACCTCAGGACCCACAATTGTCCTTGGCCATTAAGTCACGACCCAAATTGCACTGCATGGAACACACGGCATTGCGGTACTGCGCGTTCCGATGCAGGCAATCGAACTGTGGGTGAGAGGTGCGATAGGTGCAATTGCGTGGTACGGTGCGTTAATAGCACAGGACTGTGCAATTAACGCACTGTACTAGTGTGAACAGGCCCTCAAAAACACTGACAGATGCAATCTCACACATTTACAGGCACAAGAACTGGAGTGGATCCTCAGCCCAGGGTCCAGTGTGGGCTGCTGTGCTGTGATGGAGCTCCATCTATATCTGCATTGCTTGCACAGCTCCCTTGCACGCCCTGTAGAGGTGGCGGGAGCCAGAATGTGACATCACTCCGGTCCGGGCACCTTTACAGGACATGCGAGGGAACTGTAAGCAATGCATGTATGGATGGAACTCCCTCACGGCCATGGCCCCATCCCACCCAACCTCAAGCTGACACTTGGCACCGGGCAGCATATTTTGAATGGCTGCTTGGCCCGAGAACTGACAGTGCTGCACTAGGTGGAGGCTGAGGAGCCTCTCACCTAGAAAAGTGGAAGTCACGCGGTGACCCACTAAACATGGAGTCGCAAACCACTTTTGGGTCACGACCCACCAGTTGAGAACCAAGGCTCTACACCAAACTGGTCAAACCGTGTCTTTATGGAGCTGGCTTAATGCACACAAGGATGGAAGTACACAGTTGTCCATAATGTCATTATAGCTGCAGCATTACCAGTCCCCTTCACTGGAGGAACGTGAACTCAGTCATTTGGGCATATAGTATTTGACTTTATCTGTGTTTCCGACAGATGGATCCGGGAACAGAAATACCCCAGAGAGATGTCCTCTGTATTCACGGGATTCCACACAGCAACATCAGGAGATCCCTCAGGAACATCAGGAGATCCATCAGGTCCGTCCTCTGTATTCCCGGGATTCCACACAGGAACATCAGGAGATCCCTCAGACCCGTCCTCTGTATTCCCGGGATTCCACACAAGAACATCAATTAGTGTACAGTATATAGATACACACACACATATGAGAATATATATATTTGTAAAAAAATCATATTAGTGGTCCGCGGGATTTAAAATGATGAATTTAGTGATCCATGAGATCGGAAAGGTTGGCGACCGCTGTATTAGATGGTCCAACAGACTGAAAATATTCATCTTCGTCTCATGTCATATTATTTGTAATTCTTCATGTTTATTTCAGGACGATACTCTGATTAGAGTTAAAGTTGAAGTGAAAGAGGAAGCAGAAGCGATGGATATGGGGAGTGATGATCCGTGTAAGGAGGAGGAGGTCCCTCCAGAGATCAGCACAGGTGAGGAATAAACACTAAATCCGGAATCTTCATGTAAGTGACTTGAGGTCGGGGTGTTGATCACTGGCCTCAGTCCTTCCTGAGATGAAACAATGTGCAGATCACAAAAGTTGAAGACGGGTCAGAAGTCCGGCATGCTTGTTCCTGGTCAGACGCTCAGAATTTTGATGCTAGAGCAGCTTTTCTCAACCAGGGTTCTGTGGCAAACTGGGGTGCCTTCTGACTTCCTCAGGGGGGCTTCAAAAGATTCA